AGATCACTCGAATGACTAGCATCACACTTTTGTGTGACAGAAAAGTCGTTTTTATTCATTCTAGACAAGTGTTTTCATATTTGCAAACCACATCATATTTACCTTTGACTTTTAAAACGAGTAAACAAAGAATATTTTTGGATCATTATGATTGGATATTGAAAAGAAATTACAAACATGTAAATATATACTAGTGGCAACAAACGTATACAAGTGGCAAATGGATCGGATTTGGATCAAGTGGATTGGATAAAATGTATTGGTGGATTTATAGATGGATCATATGGATCGGTGGATTGATCCATGGATTTAAATAACATCCAAACCTTTGACCAAAATGTAAAATTTGAAAAATTTAAGCAATAATATGTCATAATAGAAAAATTTAGGTAGCAAAATGTTATTTTCAAATGACATTTTCATATAAAAATAACTTTTAGGTACCAAATTGTAAAGTATAAAAAGTATAGCTACTAAACTCTAATTGCTAATGATCTATGAATCGATCAATCCAATTAGATTTATTTATTTTGGTGGAAAACAGAGCGCATAGGGGCACTCTAAACCTTAAGTATTAATAAAGCGAGAACCTCAATATAGTCGAAATACAACCAATAGCTCAGAGTAGGACTCGGGTTCTGGAAAACATGAACGCTTACAGAAAGTGAATTACCGACAGAGGCCAAATAATCGGACCAGGGGGCAGGGACGGAGCTATTGCATTGGAGAGTCTTCTTTTTTACAGAGAGGTCCTGTGAGGATTGAATAATGCAAATGTATTAGGGGATTGCTAATCGTCGCCCTAAAAATTCTTATTTATCGCCCTAATTATATTAAATTTACTATAATGTCCTTAGTTTATTTTTTTTTTCTATCAAACACTTAATTCTGAAACAAACACATACATAGTTACATACATCCACCAGTCGCCGAAGCCGGAGGAAACATTTTTGGAAACCCACACCCAACAGCACCATTTGAGGGGTTTACTGTTCATCGCCGCCGTGCCATCTCATCTCCCGGTAGATGTCCTGATAATACGGGCGAATCAAGGGAATTTCGAGTAATTGTTGCAGGAGAGAAACGGTGGGGCAAGGTGTTTGACCAATGGTCTCAATTCTCAAACTCTCAACGAAGGTAAATAGTTTGGTGCATCAAAATGATCTTTTATTTTATTAAAAGGAGCCAGCTTTTGCATTGCTCTGAATTTTGATAGGCGATAGCTTGGGGATTTGGAATTTTTTGTTTTTTGTTTTTTTGTCCAGTGGGTTGCAGGAACAAGACTTGTTTCACCACCGAGATCGGAGCCTATCTGCTGTACTTAGTTGCCAACTTGCCGTGACGAAAACGAGCTGGACATGTTCAATGCGGCGCGGGTGGAATACAACATGGCGGGGAGCGAATCCGGCAGTAGGACATCGTGGCGGGAGAAGTTATGTTCAATGCGGCGCGGGTGGCGGGGAGCGAATCCGGCAGCAGGACATTGTTGCTAGGTTTTAGTTTGTTTGAAGTTAGGGGTATAAGTGTCAATTTAGTGTGGTTTAGGGCGATTTATTTTGAATATTAGGGCGACGAATAGCAATTCAGATGTATTAACCCCAATATGTCCGTTTCCCCTCCTAAGTTTACCATTTTTGCAAGTCTCACCCCCAAATTTCTCAAGTTATACAATTTGCTACCTAACTTTCTTGTTTTGTACCATTATGTTCTTTTCTTTTTTTGGTTTTAGCGATAATTTTTCATCTCCTATTTTTCAAGCCTACAATTAGGTAATAGAACTTGCTTATTTTTGTGTATCTTTTCCTTTTTTTTTTCTCTCCTTACTTTCAAAAAAATTACAGTTTTGATTATTGCAAAAATAAGTGTTTTCACCAATTTCTCGTTTCTCCATCAGGAATCAGGTACCTATTACCGATTTTTGTTTTCTCCTATGGTGCCACATGAATTAATCTTGTTTAGATAACATAGAAAACCTCTTTTACCAATTTAAAATAGGTTACACTATAGTTTATTAATTAATATTGAATAAGAAGTAGCAAAATGAAAACCACATAATATTTTAAATGTTAGTGATATAAAAATACATATTGGACTAAAATATGATAAATTATAAATCATATATCTGATTTATAATTTTTTATTGGCCCCTCCTAAACAAAATTCATGACTCCACCCCTGCGAAAGACAAGACGTGGCTAATCTGAACTTCCCACTCGAGCTGCAACAGTGTTCTAATGGCAGCCACCAAAACACTATGCGGATTAAACGTGGGTGGTGACCTAATCAATTAGACTGTCGTGGCTGGCGGAGTCAGTTTGCACTAAAACTTTTCTCAAGCCTTGATCCCACGCAAGCTGAAGACCATGTGTGATCCCTACTAACTCAGCATGAGTTATAGAGCCTCCTCCAAGATTAATAGCAAAGGCTTTTATATATGAATATGAAGCCCCCATCTTCTCTACATAGAATCTCACTGTTGCCATGCCTCCTTGGTTTCCCACTACGGATCCGTCCGTGTTCAAGCAAGCCCAACCATTCGGTGGGCGTTTCCAGTACTTACCCAGCACAACATCCATCCGAAATTGCTTTATAGTTGCAATAAGTTGAGCCGGGGAGGCGAGTTCCTTCTCAAAAACCCATTTGTTTTTGTTTTGCCAAAGCTTCCAGCAAAACAGGGCAAAAAGAGACGAGTCAATAATCTTGTTTCAATCGGCCAAATAATGGAGCACCACCGACTCATATTCCCATCAAAGAAAGTACCATCTACTTCATCCACCGTGCTTAATTAAGAACAGTCTCTAATCACGTGTAAGGTAGTCTTATGCCCATTACCACAAAGAGGACAAACATAAGATTGTGCTAGCTAGGTGCCTCCGACATCCCTCTTCGTTGGTAAGAAGACGATCATGCAGAACCAACCAGAAGAAAGTCTTGGTGCGCTGGGGACCTTGAAAGCCCCCGACTCGATCTGAGAGGCGCCAAACCGGGACGTCAGGCTCTGAGTCCGAAGGAATAGGATGGAGCTGGACTAGGAATTGGCCAACTCTTCAGGTACGAATGCTCGAATATTCCAACCTCCATTTAATATCATGTCCGCCACCTTCAGTTTTATTTAACGCTGCTTCTGGTGGGAGGTTAGCTGTAAAGTCCACCAAGGGAGGTCCAACTTGGAGCCATTAGTCCGTCCAAAAAGCACTCCTTACCTTATATTCCACATCGTCCCCAATCGGACCAGGTGCAGCACATGAATCACCCCCTTCATAAGATGGACATTCTACCCGTAACTCGAGGCCTTCATCCATCCTCTATCTCTCTCATATACTTAGCACGGATCACTCGGTCATCAGTCTACATGCCACCTTGAGCATACAAGCGTCATTCGTCCTAGTGCCACATCGTCGAAACCTCAATCCTCTCGAGTTCTTTAGATAAAATTAATTAATTTTAAATGGATTGAATTAGTTGGATATAGAAGTGAATTGAATTAATTGGATATTTAAGTGTATAAGTTGTATTGGATTATAAATTGTCACCACTACACCGGGTTTTGTTGGAGAGATGAAATAATTGGCATCTATTAAAAAGTGAAATTCACATGTGTAATAGTCTTGGTTCATGTTTAGTGATTTTATCTTCCATACTAGCTTATAGCTCGACCCGTTGGTCGGATAAGTAAGATGACAGACTCTCCGAGCATGACCGAAAGAGAGAGTGAAAAGAAGAGAACATCTATTTTGGTGAACTTTAAAGAAGTGTCAACTATCATGAGAAACTAAGGCAAAAAAAGACGTCGTCAATTTGGTAAATAAATAAACTAAGGCTTGCACAAATCCAATAAAATCAAAGCATATTACTACTTCATTGAAGAACAAGATCGTCCAAAGTACCTTTCATGACGGATAACGTTTAATCAAAACAATGTCACCAGCCCAACACTTAATGATAAACATAAATTATTCCAGAAAAAATGTCTAATAGCTTTTACCCGACCCGTTGGTGGGCTGAATTTTATTTAATTTTCTACTATTTATGTTGATTAATTTATTATATTTTAAATAATTAGGGATCGTAAGATTATGCATGCTTTGAAAGTAATACTTGTGGTACTCATTATTGGTGATATTACTTATTCTCTTATATGCTCTATCCTAACTTAATATTTTCTCTGTATTTTTTATATTTTAGAATAAATATTTACACTTCTTAAGGTCACAATATGGTTTGAGAGGTATTTATTCATAAGATTCGTTATATTAACTTGATTTTCTATTATCTTCAATTGAAACCAAGACAATTATACATTGAAGTAATGATTAGAAACTTCAAGTGATTGCTGATACTCAAAATGCGGAATACTAAATTAGTGGATAAGAAAATTGCAGCCGAGTCCAATCCTCATATCCATCTAATCGAAAAATGGGCTAGTTGGCATAGAGAGACAGAGGTGATTGCTACTTGCTAGGATAATAAAATACTAAGACTTTAGAAAGAGGAAAAAAGGAATTTGATCTAGGTTTCCCGTAATTCAAACAGGCTGAAAAATAAAACCTAAAATAAATGCATAGTTGTGACATCGACAAAACTATCTTTCCACATCTTCCTTGGAGCCGTAGAAAGAAACCAATAGCTAAATGATGGAGGCAATGAGGATTTTGCATAAGTTGGGAAAGAGGGTCTCACTTAGAACTTTGGTGAATGTCAGGTTGAAAGACTCTGGTATGCATCAAATTCACATATTAGATAACTTGCTACAACTGCAATGGAACAGATGAAATTAATTTTGACCAACCTAAACAACTTTTACCCTTTAATTCTTTGTCGACATATAGAAGACAATGTTTCCATAATTGCCCTCCAAGAACTCCACCAACAACAAATTCAACTAAGAGAAACACTTTTTCCCATTTCACTATAGTATAAAGCTAGTTTTTTTCGTGTTTCATTGTGATAAAAAAAATTATATTAAAAAAATTATAGATTCCTACTTGATTCGCTTTAACGGAACATAGGATTCACAGATCTGTAGACAATCTATTAAGGTCATACTTACACACAAAAAAAGTCACCTAGCTATGCATATTCAAATAAAGAATGCACTGTGTAAACAAAAACATAACTTCATTTTGAAGCGTGAAGCTATTAGCACAACTGCACTTTCAGAGCTTTTGCCAAGGGAAATCTGGGTGGCTCCCATCAGCCTACATTGAGAGGTGCTAGAGGACTCATGCGGGTAATTAAAGTTTTATTGACCTCATAATTTGGATTTCCCTTTGTGTTCTCCTTTACCAATCTGTTGGAGCAGCTTGTCAAAAGATAAAAGCCAATTCTTGGAGAATTAATAATAACCGCCCGTAAAAAATTTAGCATCCTTGGAAATATTTCAATAGATTATTTTAATTCGTGTGATAACGTTCATGTTGCTATTCGATTACATATACAGCTGACAACTAAAAAGATCACATCCTCCTAGTAGGTTAAGGAAAATTTTGAAACATGAAGGTGAAACCAAAAAGGAATATGGTGGAATCAGTAACTAGGAACACCAGGCTTGTAGGTAGGAAGGCAAAATTAAATGGTAAACACAACACGATAGAAGGAAAATATTCAAAACTGGTATAAATTAAGAAACCTACCATATCGAGGATAGGACTTCCTGCAAATTGCAAACAAGAGCGTCTGCAATAGAGATTGGGCACAATTGAGCGAGGTGAAGATGAAAAGTCACCAACTCTGCTCCAGCGGACCAAAAAGCTGCAAGAATAGCAGTTCAATTAAATCATATCAAATGGTAATACAACAGACCACTATGAACAATATTAATATTAGACTATTTCAACTTTCAACTCTAACCATTATCATGACCATAACAATAATGAACAAATCACCTTAGTTAACTTACTTCCAGAAGCGTTTAATGTTCCTTTATGGCACTCTAAATCTTATTGTGATGACTAACGAAACAACAGAGAATACATACTCACGTTCTAGAGAAATATATGTTGCATAAACTTAAACATTCAATACCACCAACTATAAGGCAATAGTCTTAAAAGTCCAGTATACCCTACTCCACCATCTTAAAAAACTCATATAGCAAGAAAGTTGTCATTCATAATGCAAGTTGGAGATCCTTAAGAAAGCAAAGAATCCAACTGCCTATTACTAAATAGAAAAATCCTATGAAGCCTCGCCTCCTTTAATAACGATAAATCTTAGTATAGAACACAATCAGAAGCACCATCACACAAGCATATAGTCATCCTAGTTCCTGGTTCAGTATCATCCAAAAAAACAAAGAATGCAATATAAGAACAGAATGCAACGAAGGAGGGTGGCATATTAGAGATAAATGTGTGTACCTGAAACTTTTTTGTGAGTAGTCTACTTAAACCATGCTATTTCTTTGTTAGTAGCTAAACTACAGTACATGCCTATACTGAAAATCTGTACACATTTCAGGAGACCAGTGGTCAAAATTATTATCAGGGATTCATTGATCGATCAATTTGAGAATGTAGTCCCTCACCAACCACAATCACGCATTACATGCGTAGTCACATCATTATATACTGAAAAGAAGAAAGGTAATCCAAAATACTTTAGAGCAGCCTCCTATTCATCAACAATTAGATTTCCTATTTCGACCAGAATGCCAATTCACTTGACTGAGTTGCTTGCAGGTGACTTCTATTTTGCTACATCAGTGGCTTCGAAATTATACTTTAATTTGAATTGTCCAGACTTGCATCATTTACTAAACCCGTAAGATAACTCTATGTACCACAATTCACTTGTGTTGTACGTTGCTTATTGACAAATTTGAACCCCTTCTGATGACAGATTACGACAAACCAGCTGGACCTATGAAGATGCTAAACAGGTTGCCCAACCATGCACTGTTGAAGAATTATACGCATTTGAGCAGTCTCACTTGCATATGGTATCAATTTCATTTCTCCAAATTTATTCCTTTACCCATATCCTTTGAGTACTTTGCAACGCATGAGTCTTCTGTCGCATGTAATAGTCTTTCAACTCTGCATATATGAGGTGTGATACAACACTTACCTATTGAACATGTTTCATAGCATACCATTAATTATCTCAATGATGGCTTCCTCAGTTTGAAACTTGATTATGTATTAGTACTTCTCAGTTCTCCCACTTGCTGATCATACCAAGGGCATGTATTTTATGCTGTCACTCCTGATTATATTTCTTCGCACTACTTTGGTTTATTCTATTTCATTCAATTAATCCAATTAATCCAAGTTGTCCTCATTCTCTATATGGTGGCCCAAACATGTGATTCCATTACTTACATTTTATGTTTGAATTGTCATTTTCTGTAGTTCTGCAGTGCAACTCCTTTTTATTAGCATTGATATACCCGATTGTAACAAATGGCTCTGTTTCAATTCGGAGCTTTATAATTTAAATATTTGTAGCCGTTACTACTCACTTAACAAAGGCATCCGCTGTCCATACTTTCCCGGGCGAGGATTACCTCATTCGTGGACTGATCTTAGAATTGTGTGTGGTATGGTCACCATCAAGGAAACAGTTCATTGTCCACCTTAGAATTACGGATGACTATGCAGAGTTTGATGTCTCATTCATATCAATCAATTTTAGAGCTATAGTTGATACGGTCTTCCCAGCCAAGGATGATTACGTTTGGGACCAGACCTTCTTTGATGCTCTGAATTCCTTAAAAGGGAAACACTTTAGTTTTATTCTCCGATTTCACAATGCATGTTATATGGGATGCAAAGCCTGAAATGAGAACAATAGCCTGAAACTAAATAAACAAAGACCCAATTCAAAAAACGAAAGACTGTGATTGACTCTAGAGATGCTCCAAAGATTGACTCTAATAAGCTTCCAACCTAGTTAAAAACAAAGTCATGAAATGTAAGTCAAAAGTCACTCTAATAAGCTTGTAACCTAGTTAAAAACAAAGTCATGAAATGTAAGTCAAAAGAGTAGCCATATGTAATCAACAATATGAAAAAAATTTATGTAAAGATCACACAGCTTGCTTTATGTCTTACAGTGGCTTTCTATGTATCCCATTGCAAGTATTTTATACACATTGCAAGTATGTTGCTTTGAAATAATATTGTTGCATAAATAATAGCTTATTGTTGCCAATATACATAGAGAAATGATACTGCTGCATAAATAAGAGAAGGATGCGCCATAGAGAAGGGGATAACCTTCATTGTTGGATTGAGAACCCAATTAGATGGTTTGGACTACCAAAACTGAAGAGGCAACTCTGGAACACAAAAATTTTTAATATGGCATCATTAGAAGCTAATGAAAAGTTCAGAATCCTAATAACTAAAATTACATGGATCAGGAATATGACGTTGTATAAATGAAATCACACAATGAGCTCCCGAAAGTACAGCTACCTGCAGAAGAAGAAAACAACACACCGACACAATTCATACCCTAACCCCAGATGTTGATGAGGGTAAAATGAAGAATACGACGACATAGACTAACCTAGAACTGATTATGAGGGGAAATCCTCAATCCTCATGTTGCTCTTTCGTGAACTCAGCCTGCACCACCTGGGTATCCCTGGCATACTTGCTCAGCACTTTGTTCGAGCCCTTGAGAACCCTCGTGGTCAGGTCTTCGAGTAGGTCTTGTGTCTCCGACGGGATGAACAGCTTGTCGAGTGGAATCAATGGCTGGGTTTCCGTCGGTGAAGGTGATTCGAGAAGATGATTCACTTGGATGGGCTCGCCAGCGGATAGGGCAGATTAGGGCCTGATTAAGGTAGGGAGTCGGTAGATCTTCGAGCAGAGGGTAAATCGGAACTGTGATTCCAAGAGGCGAATCAGAATAAATTAAATCCCCCACGAAGAACAGTTACAATGGAGAAGTCTTTGCAAAGGTAGGTTTTGGTTTTGAGCCGCGTAGAATGTGAGGCGCAAAGAAGGAAGTTCGGAAAGGGTAATATATGCTGGTGAAGGCTGGAAGGCGCCGAAAGCCAAACATGGAGCGGAGAAAAGATTGAGGGTAACCGCCGCTATTGAACCCAGCCACGTTAGCATCCCGAAAATCACTATAATGTCAGAATTTTTTGAATGTTGGTTGTAGTTAAAAGTTTCCACTACAAATGATAGTGTAAACTATAGATGTAGATTTGTGAATACTTTATCTAAAATGATCAAACTGGAAGTTGGAATGTTTGTACATAATTAACTATATTTGGGCCCGCCCGTTGGCCGGATAAATTTCATTAATAGTATAGATAAACATAGTAATTGTTTGAAAAAGGCATGTCTTATTCCATATCGGTATAATTCTCAAGATGCTAACCACATTTATTAACTAAAGTTATTACTGAAAGTAAAAATAAAATGAATGCAATAAAATCAATACTTACAAATTTAATCAAACCATACTATTTGCTCACCGCTGTCAAGAATTATTGAAAATTTTATTTAGAATTTCATGTGATTGCTCTGCCTCAACCATCTAAAGCACCGTCATCCCCACCAATTATAATGCCTTTTTCTTCCTTAACTAAACCTTTATCTTCACAATAGGTTGTTCCTACTTTTTTTTATTAGACACCAATCTTTAATAGTAAAATGTTTAAAACACTAAATATTAGTAGAATTTTATGTCTCGTGAACATTTTATGAGATTTTTTCTTTCCCCTAATGCAAACAACCAATAGACCAACATATAAATTTGATCATTTATAGATTGAAAACTTAATGAATAATTTGTAGGCATTGACTATTCGCCAATATATACGTTTCTTCTTTCTTGTATATCTGCAAATTTTCTTTTCAAAATTGGTTGAGGAAACTATGGTGGTCAACTATGAAAATAATTAAACCTACCATGAACGTGATTTTTTTTTTATCTGTGGTGGTTTTATTTATGATTTATAAATCATGAATTAGGTGGGGAGTATCATGATCATTCTAAGTTGACTTTAGGAAGATTGGAAGCTTAGTTAAAGTCTAGTAATGGAGGCGAGACCCACTTTCATAACAAACTAAAGAAAAATTGATGGTGGAAAAACACGATTAGGAATTGTTGCATAGATTGGGTACCATTATAGAAGAATTGATAGGTCATGAATGCTATATGATGCTAGATAACATACATTTTATTCCAAATATGTCAAAATGGATACTATTTTGTTAGTATATTTAATTTGATGTTTAGTTAATATCAATTATAAAAAAAATGTAATATGGAATAATTGAAAACTAACAACGAAGTGGTTATGAACCTTGATTATACACCAAATTATATTAATAAATTAGCTAAATGAATACAGTAAAACAAAACTGCTAATAATAATTTCAATAAATATGTAGAGATGAATTTTACAATGCTTTTATTTGGAAAAAAATGTATGTATAGTAAAATTGAACTTATATTTTTAACATTATAGTCAAATTCATTTTGTATCTATACCTTTTCGTCACAAATTTTTTTCTACTACAAACTAAATTCTACTTTTAATGTCTCTTTACAAATTTAGTTGTAAATATATCTTCTCATAAAAATTCATTTATGATACAAACGGAATTGTCCTTTAACATTATGGTACGGTTTGTATCGATATATTTTTGTACAAATTAAATTTATACTTTAACATTGTGACACTAATTCAAATTGTATTTGCAAACACTAATATAATAATATATGATTAGAAGGAAGTAATTAGAAGTAATTTTGGACTTACATGACCAATATAAATTAAAACAAAAGCCCCATCCTTAGCGCAATACCCCGGAAAAACAGAGGCTTAGCCCACCTATTGCATTTGTTTATGGCCAATCTAAATTAGAACCATTTGACCAAAACACCCATCCGTACTATGCGCAGGAGGCCGGAAAAGTGGAACTAATAGGCTTTTGGTGGAGAACCTCCCTAATAGAACTGAATTGCTATTCCCTAGAATGGGATTCCGTATCACAAGTATTGGTCAAATTTTTTTACATAATTAATTCCTAACTTTTTCCATCCCAATCCCCAACCGAGTAACTGACCGTTTAAGAATTTATATTACTATTTTGTTTTTTCCGCAAAAAAGAAGTAAAAATAAAGAAATTACTATTTTAGTTTTCTTCAAATATTCGGTGCCTGGCGGATTCTCCCTCCCCTTTTACCGAGTTGGTTACCTAATCAATCACGGTTTGTTACCTTGGCTTTAATAATTCATTGTTAGGGTTATACGGTATCTATATATAGATCCAGAGATCAACATATTCCTTGCTCACAGATCAATGCAGACGAAATAAACTGCTCGACCTAGCTACGTCTCTCAAACTTCAACATCGCTCTGAACCCTAACTAAGGTTAGTGTCAGCAATCCATGACATTGTTTCTCATTATACTCTTTGGTTAATTTTCCGGTATCACGAAAGTAAGATAAGTGGATTGTTTGTTTCTCTGCCGATGATCACCATTATGATGAGATCTGGTTATAATTTAGTTTTCGGAGCTCCTCCATCGATTTACACGCTTTCTTTTTGTTTCTCAATCGCATTGATTTATGCATGAGTTTATGGTGTTTAAGGTTTGGGGTTGATTATCATGCTTGATGTTGGATTAAGTCAATGGATCAACGTTTCATAGGAAGTATTAGGTTTATATGGATTCGTCGGATACTCATAAATGTAGAATAGAGCTGATCTGCGTTACAACTGGTTACGTCGCGGTTTATGTTTGTAGTTGTTGTAGAAAATACCATAGTTATGTTGCGTTTGATTTGCTTACAAGATTGATTAATTTTTGCAGGAGGGAGGAAGATTGTCGTGATCAAGAAGGAGAATGGAGGCCGGTGGAGTGAAGAACGCGACGGTGATTAAGGTGATCGGGAGGACAGGGTCGCGAGGGCAGGTGACCCAAGTGAGAGTCGAATTCATTGACAACACCAAGCGTCAGATCACTAGGAACGTCAAAGGCCCTGTTCGGGTCGGCGACGTCATCACCCTCCTTGAAACTGAGAGGGAGGCCAGGAGGCTCCGCTAGAAACTAGCTACCTTAAACCCTACCCTACTTCATGTCCTCTCTTTCTTCTGCCCAGTGCTTTGATAGATAGAGATATTCGGATTCCAAGTTTGTTTTATGCTCCTCTTCTTATGGCAGATTGTTTGATCGTCGGTAATAATAGCATAAAGTAACGTGATTTTGATAATTTGATTTGTTTTAAAAGGATTTCTATCGTAATCATATGACAATAAACAACAAAGCATTAGTAACAACAGCAACAACCAGCAACCGAGAAAGATAATTATTCATCTGATACAAAAAATGTACGACCCCAACCCTACAACTTTTTAAGTTATTCTTCTTAGACGACATATGGCAATTCTCCTGTGCGAAGGAACAAATTGCAGCATCATAAGGAATGGAACTCTAGGTAGTAGGTACTAGAACACCAACGCCCTTCAACCATTCACTCCTTCCTTCACCCGCGGTGCGGCCATGGCCTAGATAGAGCTTGAGACGAAACGGAAGGCAGAATGATCAGTGTTCTTCTATCGACATAGCTAGTGAAATATAGGAAAGTGACCAAGTCCTGAAAAATGCATCTCGCAGCAGTCTGCAAACGACTGCAAAAATGAGGATAGAGATGAGATTTTAAGAACACAACCATCATGGTTTTGATTATGAAGCTAAAGATAAGAAAAACGGCAAGCAATAACCAAAACTCAGATGACGGAGTAAAATGATATCCACACTTGAGTAACGGCAAGCAATATAGAATACTATGCTAAACTTAAGTATCAGGCAAGTAACTTGACGTTTTCATATTGACATAGCATAATCTTCAAAGACTCATCCCACTTGAACTCAATGGTTCTATAATCCTGTTTTCCATAATAGTTCCCGGAAAATAAATGGGGATTGGGTAAATTGATTTCTAAATCAGGCAGCCAACTTCTCTCAACCAACTGGCCGATAAGATTAAGTTCTGATCCAGGCTTAAAGAATACTGACTTTATCAATCTTCACTGCACATGGAATACATACAACATATAAGTGCAGATTATAGTGATAAGAACATGGGATAACTGACATTCAATAGACAGGAACAGACTCAAGGAAGCCACAAATCACAACCGAAAGAAGTATGAGCTGGTACTGATAAGCCGAAACTAAACACAACATTTGGCAGAAACAAGGCTGCTGGCCTTAAACATCTTACATTCACTTCTGTTATTTCAGTTGCATAAAATCGAAACTTTCACACATCTAAGAAATATGTTCTACAGCAGCAGCAGTCTCACTACAGCCGAACTATCCGTAAATGAACTACTCTGTTCGAAAGCAACCGAAGACCTCCCTATCAACTACACTTACTACACACTTACAAACAAAAAAAGTCACTTTCTATCTCCATCTTCAGCTAATTGCTGAAATCGAGCAAGCAGTCAATCTTAGGCAAGGATCTCCTCTGCCCGAATTATCACAATTGTTGGGTTAGTTCTACTATGAAACCAATAACAGACGGTCCCTCACTCTGTACTCTGTGAGGTCTTTGGAAAAAAAGCTAGAGGGAAAAAAAGCTAAAGACTTTCTAGCATTTGAACACACTTTCTAAGTTTTTTCAGCGACGAATTCCATACTCAAATACCTAACAATGCCAATTGGGAACTCAGCCAGGCAAATACTCAAGCAGCTAGGAACTCTAAACATGAAAGTAGAGGACATGGAGTAAAGTAAAGTTGCAACTGTGAAGAAATGAAACTGGAACGAGTAGAACTTCAGCTGGAATATCAAAAGAGTTAAAAGAAATACCTGTAGATTGATTTCAAGCAGACTGCGGAATCATCCCAGTCTTCCTCGCATATGCGAAAATCCCGCCGGCCTCGATCACCGGACCGGCGTCGCCAATCGGCTGCAACTTGTACTCCTTTCCGGTCGTGTGATTGATCAATCGGCTCTCTCCCAGCTCAATCGTTATCACGTCGCCAGTCCTGCACTCTTCGCAAACCCTAACCTCAGTCTCTAGCGGATAAACCTCCCCAGTCGCGACCGAGTTCCTGAAGAAGATCCTCGCGTACGACTGCGCCACCACCGCCGCCACTCCCGCAGCTCCCAGAGCAACCGGAGCGTGCTCGCGAGACGAGCCACACCCGAAGTTCTCTCCACCAATCACGATGGAGTACTTCGTCTTTGTCTGGTTCGGCTCGATGAATCTCTTCTCGTAGGAAGCCGGGAGGCCGATTAGGGCATAGGAGCCGAGCTTTTCGTATTCGGCGGGGTTCGAAGGGACGAGGGTGAGGTACTCGGCGGGGATGATCTGGTCGGTGTCGATGTTGTCGCCGACGACGTAGCAGAGGCCATGGAAGGAGGTAGGCGAGGTGGTGGCCGACGAGGGAGACTCGGCGGCGGCGCGTGGAGCTACGAAGGATGCGCGTTGATTGCGGACGACAGGAGAGTTGGATGTGAATGGCACGATAAATGGGCGCACCGAAGAAATGGAGGGAAATCTGACTGCCTGAGAGGAGACGGGACCGATGGAAGGCTTCGTTTCCGAAAATGCGGCGGCGGCGGAGAAGGTCGACAGTAAGGAAGAGTAAGAAACCGCCATGGCTGCTTTCTTCTGGATGCGACAGAGGGAGGAAGCCGCAAGGCGTCGAATCGAATGTGTAGAATTGTATTGCTGAGTGCTGACGGCTGTGGAAAATTTGACTCCCGGGAGCCGCCGCCAATCGAACCGAAATGGTAACAAAATCGCTATTGGTTCAACCAAACCGAATTCGTTTATTTGGGCCACAGTGGCACAAATTGAGCCCATCACGATTATTTCCAAAATTCCAGCCCAAAGCTAAACGGCCCGATAGTCAGCCAAACGCAAAACCGCCGGCTCTCTGAGGCCTTGTGAAAGGACATGCCTAAACGTGGGCAAGATGGACGATCCAGATTTTCCCGTCGTCGGTCTATAAAAACGTTATTAGGGTTTTGGATTCCAGTTTCGAGCTCTTCTCTTTAAGTGAGCGGAAACCCTAGCAGTAACAGGTTGCGTTCAGCTGCGACACAATGGGTATTCTCTCCTTCTTCTCCGTTCATAGTTTGCTTTGATTCTGTTGGAAACGATTCGTGAACCCTCATTTTCGATCCCTTTTTGCTATCTTTGTGGAAGTGGGATTCTGATTCGAGTAATGTGTAAACAGGTGCCTACAAGTATGTTTCGGAGCTATGGAGGAAGAAGCAGTCAGATGTTATGCGGTTCCTTCAGAGGGTGAGGTGCTGGGAGTATCGCCAGCACCCGTCGATCGTTCGGGTCAACCACCCTACTCGCCCTGACAAGGCTAGGCGCTTGGGATACAAGGCCAAGCAGGTAAATTTGAATTCATACTCATCGATTCGGGTTGAGTTCTAGAAATTTTAGTAGAATCTGAGCGAGCTGTAGAATAGTGGCAGTGATGTAATCTGTATATCACTTAGCTTCCCAGAGTTCTGATGGAATTTGTATTGTTGACTTGTGTTTATAAATTGTTTTGGTAATTAATTTGAGAGATGGTTACTCGTTTTTAGCTTCTTTTTTTTTTTTTTTTTTTGTAGTACTGCCTACATATGCTGGTTTAGTGGCATTTTGATGCATGTTAACCACTACTATAGAGGGTGGTTATTTGAAATGATCGGATGCTTACTGAGACCAGTGAAAGAAAGCCACACAGTCGATCATCTGACCTAGTGGGTTCTCATTTTCGACTTAACTCACTGTTGTCTCGATGCAATACAGAATCCGATGCTGTATTTGTTGGAAGGGGTGTATTGTGGTCGCGAATTTTCCACCAAACTTCCAACCAATCAATTATGCTGCATATTGTTTTCTCTTACGTTTCTGCATAGACATTGCAACTGATAAAACTAGTTGGAGGACTTGTGGTAAGAATTTGTTAGCAATAGTTTTGTTGTCTCTTTTGCACTAATAATATCAACTGATTGAATGTTCGATGATTGTCGCAGGGTTATGTTGTCTACCGTGTCCGTGTCAGACGTGGAGGCAGGAAGAGGCCAGTTCCCAAGGGTATTGTGTATGGTAAGCCCACCAACCAGGGTGTTACCCAACTCAAGTTCCAGAGAAGCAAGAGGTCTGTGGCTGAGGAGCGTGCTGGAAGGAAGCTTGGTGGTCTCAGGGTCCTAAACTCCTACTGGATCAATGAGGTATGATATGTGGACGCTCAACCTGAATTATTCTTGAGACTTGGTTTAATATTTTCTGATGAAATATGATTCTGACTGCTCTCTCATATTCAGGATTCCACCTACAAGTACTTTGAGGTCATTCTTGTCGATGTGGCTCACAATGCCATCCGCAATGACCCGAGGATCAACTGGCTCTGCAACCCCGTCCACAAGCACAGGGAACTGCGTGGTCTCACCTCTGCCGGAAAGAAATACAGAGGTCTCCGTGGAAAGGGACACTTGTACCACAAGAACAAACCTTCTCGCAGGGCCACATGGAAGAGGAACAACACCCTGTCCCTCCGCCGATACCGTTGAGCTTAGTTGGATGTGTTTCTTATCATTGTTGTGTTTCTGTCTTGCCGAATTTTGTCTGGCGAACATATTGCTTGTTTTCACGAACTGAAAATTTTGGATATTGGAAGGAATATCTTTAGTATGATACATTTGGACACACCCTCTTGAATTAATATCCCAGGTGAGATGAAGATCCCTCTTTTTGCTGCTGTGCAGTAGTATATTACTTCTATATATGCTTCATTGTGTGTATAAGCCTTGCTGATTTTCTGTATTACGAGCTCGAGTCAGTCGTCTTGAAGGTGTTTCCATCGTTGAAAATCATGAATTGCAAATTTCACGATGTAGCTTTCACTATGCGATCGCCCAAATTTCAAATAAGTCAGGTGGTATCAGAATTGTTAGGATTTGATTTCTTCAGCTAGCAGAGTGTTACTACTTACTAGTAAACAACTGCGGATTCTACCCAAAAAAACAGTAAAAATAACATTTTGTTACTGAGAATCCTAAATCGTGTTATGTTTAGTCACTAGAAAAAATTAATATCAATTTTGATCACTTGAATTACTAAAAAAGGTCACATTTAGTCACTCTCTCTTTAGCCTCCGTTCAACTCCGATCATTCGAATTACTTTTTTTTATGAATGTCACTCGAATTACTGAAACATGTCACATTTAGTCACAATCCGTTAGCAACGGAGTTGGACGGAAACTAACGGAAGAGTGACTAAATGTAACATGTTTAACTAATCCGAGTGACCAAAATTGATATTAATTTTTTCTAGTGATAAACATGACATGGTTTAGTAATCTTAGTGACCAAATGTATTTAAAAAAAAAAAAAAGTATACAACTACGGAAAATTTCCATGGTTGTTCGCAAGCAAGAGACTGTTTTAACATCGGTTTATATTAGCGGAACTAAGCTTCACAAATGGAGATTAGGAATCGTTTTGGTTTTGGTGATAGTTAATTAGATTAATTGTCATCAATGTAAGTATAATAATATACATGTATATAAGGATGACAATCAAACCCATGGTCCTCCCGACCCAGTCAATGCGGGGAATCCCCGCTTTGCCCGGGTATGGGTAAAACCTGCAAAAAGTTTGATGGGTATGGGGCGGGTTTGGTTTTAGCCTCCCCCGCCCCATACCCATTAGGTGTGTTCAAACGGTGTGGTCACCATGGTAACCGTTTTAACCAGTACTATTTGGATAACTTGGTTTGGTTAATTTGGATAATTGGTTTGGTTTGGTTAAAGTTTTTAGCTTGTTTGGTTTAGGTGGTTTGGTTTCAGACACTCCTAACCAGCCAAACCAAATTAACCAGATAAATAATTAGCCATATATCTAATATATACACATACTTAATACTTTGAATAACCACTCAAGAGTTAAACGTTCATCCCTTTTAGACTCATAAAATATAAAGCTTGATATTGTTCCTATAATGTATATTTGTATATGTAGAGTGTAGACCACGACATATGAACGTCTAATTTAAATAAATCTCATACATTGTATTAGATGAAAACTTGAAAGCAAGATCCTTTTCAGCGTATGAAAATTGCTAAAAGACTATGTCAATTCAAACACAACAATTCATTAACCCGTATCATTGTGATAAATTTTTGTTAGGTGAATACTTCTATACTAGCCGTAAGATAATTGTCTTAGTTGCATGTATTTATGTTAAGTGTCTACTATAACTATGTGTTGATTGTTATGTTTTATTCATTATATAAATTGTGAATGGATAAATTAACCGAAAATTTTCTCACTTAATGATAATGTGATTTTATATTGGTTAATATGGTTATCCAATTAACCAAACCGATTAAACATTAGTTTGGTTAATTTGGTTGTTATATTAGTTTGGACGGTTTGGTTATGATATTGTATTCCATGGTTAATGAAATTTAGCCTTATTTGGTTTGGTAATAACCATAGTAACCATTTGAACACCCCTAATACCCATACCCGCCCCCACCAAGAGAATTTCTTCAAATATAAAAAAAATATGTGCATCAAATTATAATCTATCAATGATGATGAGGATAACTTGAGAAAATAAATAGTAGAAATGCATTTGAGTGACCATCTTAATCAAAACCTAATTCATTTCTCTCAATTCTCATTTCACTCTTTCACTTTCTCCCTTGTCAACAAGATTATGTTAGTTAATTATTACTTAGTAGATGTATCAGAGTTAGAACATAATAATTTGAAAAATATTATACTCTATATTATGTATTAATGGATATTTTAGGATCATATTCTTCGAACCATATAAAAAAATGACTGTGTTTTGTTGACTTCATGATGTAATGTTCGTTTAGAGTTATAATTAAAACTTTTCCTGTGAGTTTTAGGTATAATAATGTTGGATGTACGGGTATGAGTATTATCCATGGGTACCCGAAACCCACGGGTATAGGGATGGGTTTGCAAAACATTTCCCCGCATGGGTATGGGGCGGATATGGGTTTGGGTATTTGAAGATGGGGATGGGGATGGTTTAGGCAAACCCGCCCCATTGCCATCCCTACATGTATATACGAAAATTGGTGTATACTAGTATACATTGTTTGATTTTTGTGATAGTTTTGTGTTATTTAAATAAGTTGTAATACTTTTTGGATAAAATGTCATGTTTATCCTTTGTTTCTAATATAAAAGAGCAACACACATAAAAAGGTAAGGACATAGTTTGAAGAAAAAGAAACACAACAATCTTAACAAAAACTTGAGATTTAACTATCACTCATTTTGAGACTTAGGGGTCGTTTGAAAGTTGCGATAGTTTTGTTGAGATTGTCATTATGCATGTATTGTTTACAATGCATCGTTTTTTTTTGTTTTTTTAGCAGAAACAATACATGGATTGTTTATGTGATGTGATAGAAACTATCACTCATTTTGAGTAATTGTTATATCTTAACTTTTAGTTGTGATTGTTGAGACAGTTGAGTTGAGATTGTTTTGTCTCAGCTTTTAGCTGATGCGACATACACAATCACACATACCAAACGTTGTATTCTACAATGCATCAAATTCGACAATACATGTATAATATTATACATGCATTCTCAACAATACATCTATTTAACAATCGCAACTTCCAAACGACCCTTTAGTGATAGTTTGTGTTACATCAAACAAACAATGCATATATTATTAGCGTAGAAATTAAAAAAAAAATGTATTATAACTATCTCAACCAAACAATCATCAAAACCAAACCATCTAACTTAATTTCTCAGACTAAGTAGCCATTTCCATCGTTGAAAAAGAGGATTGAAAATGAACCATTTGGCCAGTTTTCTTTTCTTTTCCTTCCAGAGATTTTCGCAGCAAACAAACAGGAAGTACTCTTTGGATATGTTCTCGACGAGGCCGATCACGATTGCTGGATCCCTCTCAGTCGTCTTCCATTTCTCTCCAACGCTTACAGAAGGGAAACAATTCACCATGGAGAAGAGAAACTGTGAAACTCCGATTTTGGGCCGCGTCACATTTTACGCCGGATGCATATTGCTGCTAAGCTGCGCTCACATTTTCAAAATTTAGCGGGGTAACGAGGGGAAAATCAAAAGTCCGCTTGAAAAAAGAATGAGCAAGCTGCGAGAGCGCTCTGGAGAATTTGTATATCTGGCAATCGCTAGAGCGCTGTCCACGGCAGCGAGCCAGAAGCAGCTACGGAAAATCCATTCGCGTCTGATTACATTAGGCCTTGAGAAGTCCGTCTTCTTTTCCGGGAAGCTGACGAGCAAATATGGGCAGCTGAAGGACCCGGTTTCTTCCTTTCATGTATTCCGAGTAGCCACGCCGGCGACCAGTGCCTATCAATGGAATTCAGTTATCAGAGCGCTCACCCAGAATGGGTTGCCCACTGAAGCTCTCGAGCTTTACTCCCGCATGCAAGAGCTTGAGGTCAGGCCTGATTCTTATACTTTCCCGTCGGTTATCAATGCTTGTGCGGCGTTGTTGGATTCTGAAACGGGTAGGATTGTCCATGATCGGGCTGTGGAGATGGGTTTCAGCTCTGATTTATATATTGGAAACGCTTTGGTGGATATGTATGCCAGGTTTGGCAATCTGGCAAAGGCCCGGAATGTGTTTGAGGAAATGCCTCGCAGAGATCTTGTGTCGTGGAACAGCTTGATTTCTGGGTATAGTGCAAATGGGCACTGGGAGGAGGCTTTGGAGTTTTATCGTGATTTTAAAATGCTTAGTCTGAAACCAGATTCTTTTACTGTATCAAGTGTTCTGCCTGCCTGTGGAGGCTTGCTTGATGTTGAGGGCGAGGTGATCCATGGGTTGGTTGAGAAGATGGGTATGAATGCTGAAGTTATAGTGAACAATGGGCTTCTATCTATGTATTTTAAGTTCGATCAATTGGTGGTTGCGCAAAGGATATTTGGTGAAATGGTCACAAGGGATACTGTTAGTTGGAACATCTTGATTTGCGGGTATTCTGAAATGCAGTTGTTTGAAGAGTCAGTCAAGTTCTTCGTGGAGATGGTTCGTATGTTCAGACCAGATTTATTGACAATCACTAGCGTTCTCCGTGCCTGTGGTCAATTAAAGGACTTGGAATTTGCAAAATTAGTCCATAATTATATGATGGACAATGGTATCGAACGTGATGTCACTGCTGATAACATACTTATTGATACATATGCAAAATGTGGTGATATTTCAGCATCAAGGGGAGTGTTTGATGCAATGGGATGTAAAGATTCTGTTTCATGGAACTCTATGATCAGTGCTTACATTCAGAATAGCAGTTATGGCGAAGGGATGGAAGTCTTCAAGGTAATGGTGAAGGAGCTGAAGCCTGATTCTGTTACTTGTATACTGATCTTGTCAATATCTGCTAAAGCAGCAGATTTGGACCTCGGGAAGCAAGTCCACTGTGCTGTGGCTAAATTAGGATTTGACTTGGATCTGGTTGTTCAGAATGCATTACTTGATTTCTATGCCAAATGTTGGAGAATGAATGATTCACTCGAGCTTTTCAGGAGCATCAGAGATCGGAATGTGGTATCCTGGAACACCATCATTGTAGCATGTGGGCAAGGAGAAGACTCTAGCTTAGGATTCAGGATGATAAACCAGATGGTGAGTGACAATATAATGCCAGATACAACGACAATGTTAGGTGTGTTGCCAATATGTTCCTTGCTAGCTGCCAAACGGCAAGGCAAAGAAATTCACGCCTCCACTTTGAAGTTAGGATTTGAATCAAACGTTCCAATTGGGAACGCACTGATTGAAATGTACTCCAAGTGTGGTAATCTAAAGTACGCAATTAAAGTTTTTCAGCATATGAAAGCAAAAGATGTTGTGACCTGGACGTCATTGATCTCAGCTTATGGAATGCATGGTGAAGGGATGAAAGCATTGGGAGCTTTTGATGAAATGAAAGCAGCTAGAGTGGCTCCTGATCGAATTGCCTTTGTGGCCATCCTCTATGCATGCAGCCATTCAGGTTTGGTGGATGAGGGTCTCGATTGTTTTTACCAAATGAAAAGGGATTATGGGATTGAGCCGAGAATTGAACATTATGCTTGTGTAGTTGATCTTATGTCTCGATCTGGGCAGTTATCTAAAGCTGAAAAATTCATCGGTTCTATGCCTTTGAAGCCAGATGCAAGCATATGGGGAGCTTTACTTAGCGCCTGCCGAGCATGTGGAGAAACAAAGATTGCTGAACGTGTATCTCAGCATATTATGGAACTAGAATTGGATGATCCTGGTTATTATGTTCTAGCATCCAATGTTTTTGCTGCTTTAGGTAAGTGGGATCAGGTAAAAAGCATCCGAAAATCCATAGTAACTCGAGGACTGAAGAAAGAACCCGGGCGGAGTTGGATTGAGATGGGAAACAAAGTTTTTGCATTTGGGTCTGCGGATAAGTTCTCTGAACATTACCAAGAGATTAGCAACTTTTTAGACGAGCTTGCTGCTTTGATGTCGAAGGAAGGTTATGCTGCTAATGTACAATATGCTTTGCATGACATTGAGGAGGATGAAAAGAGAGACTGGCTTTGTGGGCACAGTGAGAGGCTTGCTATAGCTTTTGGATTGTTGAAGACAGATCCAGGGACCCCCTTACAAGTAATGAAGAACCTTCGTGTTTGTAGGGATTGTCACACTTGGACCAAGTTCACGTCGAAGCTTATGAAGAGAGAAATATTAGTTAGAGATGCTAATCGATTTCATTTGTTCCGAGATGGGTCGTGTAGTTGTGGAGACTATTGGTAGTGTTCCCGGGATATTTGCTACATTCTCACCATTGAAGACCATTGATAGTATATTGATTCTCTCGAAGACAATAACAGCTTCCTTCGATGGGTAATGTCGTTCCAATAATTTTTTCATAAACACTGCTAGCTATGTAGTGCTATATTGTCGCTCATTAACTGGCAGTAATCCTTACACAAATGGCGATGCATTCATTTTCTGACGTATGGCCTTGGCACTGAGTCTGAAGGTCCACCATTGGCCCTTTATTCAGCAGTATTAGAAATTCATGCTTCCCTACCAAGATTCGACAGGTGCATCGAAGATGAATGAATCAGTGCAGGACCACAGCAGCAGAGAAGTGAAGATTGACGCATGAAGAAGGCAGAACTAGTTGTTTGGAACTTCACCAGTCTTTTATATAGCAATTACAGCATTCCTATAGTCAAACATTTGACGAGGAGAGTGGAAGCTCATGTATATGTTCTGCAGAAACTTCCATCCGTGACTTCATCTATTCTAACAAATCGGCCCTCCTCAATGGAAAGCTGTGCTGCAACTCCAATAGCTACTGATATCAAACCATCTTTCAAATCCACAGCTGGAACTTTGTCACCTTCAGCTCTTATTGCAGCCAAAAAGTTGAGGTGTTCCAAGTAGCTTGATCCATGATGCAAGCCATCGTATCTGCAAAAACAAGTCAATCATGAATCAGAAAAATTATTGGAGTCAAGAATTCTCCAGGTAGAGTTTCATTGCTCTAAAATATCATGTCCGCATGGCTCACTTTATTCTCTCATCCTCAGCTCTCAGGGTCTTTACACCAGCTCTACCAACAAATCTTGCACCCAACCGCACTATGCTCTCAGGTACGAAAGCCTCTCCCTGTTGCAATTTCATGACCAGAACAGAACCCAAGTGAAGAAAGAGACGCCAGAAAGTTGCATGTGTACTATAACTTGGCAGCCAAGTAAAGGTGTACCTTTCCAATGTCTCCAACAACAGATATTTCTTGCTCGTTCTTGCTCCCTTCAGCAAACATGCAAAGGTCAAGCATCCCTCTGGACCCGTTATCAAACTCGACAATCACAAAGGCATTGTCGATAATATCAGGTACCTGAACCAACACAAGGAACTTGTAAATATACAATTACTTCAGATGCAAGAAATGCAGAGCTCTAACGTCAAACCTAAGTTACTCTGCTCTAATCCCCTCATTTACTTTGAACACAGGTTTGGCCACTCATTTCGGCTGGTAGTAACTTACCTTCCCATCATAGATTTCATCCTTGTGGTTAACATCTATACCTCCAGAAGCCATCACCCGAACAGGATTTGCTCCAGCAAACAGCCTCATGAGATCAAAGAAGTGGCAGCACTTCTCCACCAGAGTTCCCCCTGTGTTGGCATTGAACCTGTTCCAGTTATGAACCTAGTAGTAGCAAGCATCCAGAGGAAGAAGAACTCATCAACTTCAGCACAACGCGGCTAGACATGGAAAAAGGAAATTAACTATTAAGTAGCCTTCAGCTTTCATCATCTTTCACCTTGACAAGAAATGGGAACCTGTGCTCCCTGATTGCCACCATTTTCACATGCCCTAGAGATCCACCTTTGACAATCTCGATCAGCTTCGCAACTGGAGGCATGTACCGGTACTCCAGTCCGACCTGGACTAGCATGTCTGGCCTCTTCTTTGCTGCATCTACAACCTAAGCAGGTTGAATAAGTTAGTCAATAAAAAGGTACTTGCATTTGTTTTATGTGGCAGCTTCATCACCGTCATATAAATGCTGCCTGCATTTGGCGTTGCGATTATATAGATACCCAGCAGTTCTGCCATTTTTAGTAGAGAATTTAATGGTCAAAGAATATCATCCAATTCACTTTTGAACTGGACAATATTCTACAATATTATGACTAAACAAATCCACGCCAAATAGGATGATGTATTTGAAATTGTTCGTTTAGCCACTCACAATCATACTTATCAATATTCTATTTTATTAAATTCACACATTCTTCCTACGAAACTCATGATAAAATGTAAAATCACATTAGAACAAGTAGATGTTAATTATCGAAAATACATAGATTTTCTCAAAATTCTATCACCCCAAATATAAAGTACCAAAGGAATTCACATACATTCTATATCATAAAATGTTAGGCTATGTCTATAATTTCCCCCCTCCTTTATGATTCTTTTTAACTTCATATCTTTTTTTTTTTCATTTTGATAGTTCTCTTTTGTGAACTGATCCGGACATGAAACTCACAAACCAAATATCTTAGGACACTGAGAGGAAGGATCCACAATCACATATATACTTCACCTTTTTGCACTGGTCAACGGTGGTGCATAGGGGCTTTTCGACAAGTACGTGGTGGGCCTTGGGGTGATGGATAATATCCATCAGAATCTGGAAGTGGGTCATGTTTGGGCTTGAAACAACCACCACGTCGCATAACCCGCTGTCCAGCAACTCCTTGTGGCCCGCGAACACCTGCCGCCGGCGCCGGCAACGGCAACAGTCAGACAAACACATCCATCATATATGAATCCATAAACGACGGAAAATAAATTATAAAAATAAATAACCAAACCTGGAGGCCGGTCCAGCCGAAGGATCGGGCCAACTCCACGGCCTGCTGCTGGGAAGGCACGTGAGGGTCGGCGATGCAAGCAACGGCGGCGTTTTGCTTCCCGTTGCTGATCAGGTGGTGGAGGTTGATCAAATGCTCTCTCCCCATCATCCCGACTCCTACGACGCCGTACCTGACCGTCTTCCCCGCCTCCCCGCCGCCGGCAACTTCGTAATCATGACCAGCCTCTCCCATGGTTGCAAAGTAAAGCGTAGTGGGACAGAGAGGGAAAAGTAGGACGATCTGGTTTTTTGGAGTTGCCGAAACCAAGACGGTTTTTGCTTTTTATTATGCGGAAGAAAGTCGGGATCATGGTCCGACTCGGATCCGCATCTTCAAAATATATATTGTCCATTTCTGCGTCCAGGTTCATTGAGTAGTTGGCCTGGCTGGCGGCTAGCGTAGTGGGCCTAGCAGTATGGATTTTCCTTTTCCGATGGCGTACAAATTAGGACAGTTACCACTTTCAGAATGGATTTTCGTTTCCATGCTTTGCTATTTGCCTGTGCAAAATCTGTGCAAATAATTAGAGGTATGAAATGAAGAAGATAATATTTTCTTTCCCTGGGTAAGACCGACTATCAACATGTATCTTACTGTAAGGGAGCAACCTAATGGTAATGGATCACTCACGTCGACTTTTCTAAACTAATTGGCAAAATACACTTTCATAACCATAACTTTACACCTTGTGATAATAATAGCCAAATTTTGAAAAATACACAAATATAGTCACTTTGTGAAACTTGCTTGACAAATTTTGCCATTTCCGTTACAAAGTTTAACATTCTCAGCAACTCTGTCAGTTAAGTGGATGTTAAACTGATGTGGATGCTACCTAGAAGACACATAATCTCCAATTAGACTCGTAATGCCGCCACGTGGATGCCACGTCGTATTTTAAAAATAAAAATAAACTCCAAAAACTAATTTTACTAGAAATAAAGTATTGTTTTAATTTTTAATTTTCTTATATATTTCCTATTTTTCAGATCTGATGCACAATTGCCAGATCCTAGCTCCGCCTCGACGGGCTGAGCCTCATCCGCGGGGTGGCGAAACTTTTGTTCATCGATGTCCTCAACGTCATCATCATTAGCCTCATCTGCTAGCTGGTGGGACTGGTGCGACGCAAAGGGGCTGATCGATGGTGGCCGACAGTGGGAGACGATGGCGAGCAACGCCACGAGGGAAGATCGATTCGGCGAAGTTGACTGGTTGGACACCATCTCGCCGAATCCGACGACGCACAGTGCCTCCACCAACCCGACTGTGATTCCAGCCTTCTTGCCTCTCATCCTTGACGAATCCCCGATCTCGTTGTCCTCGTCACTGAAATTGCAGGGGCGAGATTCAAAGGGATCTAACGAGGATTTGGGCGTATGAATTGGGGAGAGAGGTTTTGGTGGGTGTTGTGGCCGCGGGAGAGGTTGCGATGAAGGGAACCAAGCATCGGAGCGTTTCCCAGATTTGATTAAGCCACCGGAAGAGAAGAGTAAAGGATGGTATGAGGAAGTAGTGGAAGAGGAATTCGTTCTTGATGGAAGCAGAAAACGACACACAGATTTAACTTGGTATCCCCAGAATGCCAGGATTAATCCACGGGAGAGGCAAGCTCTCTAAGCTAAAAATCATACTAAGTTGCTCTACGTTCATAGTGAAGTAAAAGACGTATATATATCTCCAATGCAAACCCTAGCAGCTACACGAGTACTAGTGCATGAGTGCATGGATTTGGGCCAATCATCATTAAGTAAACTTTGGCCCAATAAACTCCTAACCATTCCGCTAACAGTCTCCCCCAAATTGATGCCGGGAACGAAACATCAATTTCCTCGAGAGGTACCAATGTCGGCTGCTAGTAAACGGCTTAGTGAAGATGTCGGCAACTTGGTCGTCGGTGCGTATGTAATGAAGTCGTACAGTCCCATCGTGGACCAGGTCATGAACATAATGAACATGAAGCTCAATGTGCTTCGTATGTTCATGTAAAACTAGATTAATCGCGATCTGGAAGGCACTGGTGTTATCCACAAATAGCTCGAGGGGTAAGGAACATGTAACCCCCAGATCGCCAAGCAGTCGACGAAGCCACACTAGCTCAGAATAGACATCAGACATCGCTCGATTCTTTGCCTCGGTAGGAGACTTAAAGACCTTGTCTTGCTTCTTACAACGCCAAGAGATGAACGACCCTCGCAAATTGAACGCACCAGCCCGTAGTCGATCAGTGAGTGTCAATGCAACCTGCAAAGTCAGAATCTGAATATGCACATAGGTCAAGTGAACCAATAGAGGGAAAAAACATACCCACATCATGAGTACCCTTAAGGTACCGTAAAATCCTGTGTGATGATCACGGCGGGGGGAAGCCACAAACTGACTAATCAACTGAACTGCAAAAGAGATGTCTGGTCGCGTGGCAGCTAAGTAGATAAGACTACCCACAAGACTCAGATATGTTAACCCATCATAAAGTAACTCGCCAGACTCGCGACCCAACTTCAAGTTGAGCTCCATAGGTGTATTGACCGGCTAACAATCCTCAAACTTGTGATCGCTTAATAGATCACCTATATATTTCCGCTGACTTATAAGAATGCCCTTACGATCGCGGCTAATCTCGAGACCCAGAAAGTATGAGAGCTCCCCCAAGTCCTTCAAATGGAACGCATCATGAAGGCCCTGCTTCAGCTGGGCAATGCTGTGAGCATCATCGCCCGTGACCACCATATCATCAACGTCCAACAAGAGAATCACTAGTCCAGCCTCACAAGATTTAACAAATAGGGAGGGATCACTTAGGCTCTGACGCATCCCAAGCTCAAGAATGATAGACTGAAACTTCTCAAACTATGCTTTGGGAGCCTGTTTGAGACCATATAACGACTTATGAAGGAGGCAAACCTGGTCAGGTGATCCCACATCATATCCCGGTGGCTTCTCCAGATACACGACCTCCTTCAAGTCTCCATGGAGAAACACATTCTTTAGGTCAAGCTGATATAAAGTCCAGTCCCCCAGAGATGATACTGCCAGAAGTGTACGAACCATAGCCATCTTAGCAACTGGGCCAAATTTCTCATCAAATCAACACCCTGCTCCTGTGTATATCCTTGCACCACAATCCGTGCCTTGTGACACTCAATAGCTCCCTCCGGAGTCATCTTAATACTATACAACCATCGAGAACCAATCACCGGGACGTCAGGTGGAGAACGATCAACAACGGTCCATGTGTTGTTGGCATGAACCACATCGATCTCGGTCTGCATCGCGTTGTCCCACAGCGGGTCGCCCTTAGCCTGCTTATAACGGGTCGGCACCACAAAAGCATCAAACCCAAAAGAAACAAGATCGTCAAACCGAGGCGGGGGCTGACCTTCAGTGGTGCGGAGCGAACGACGAAGAGCTACAAGAGCATCGGGGGGCGGCGGGGAATGTAGAGATCCGGGCGGACTGGAGCTATGCGCACCTGGTGATGAAGAAGATGAGCTGGTCGTGGAAGGCGTGGAGGACGAAGATGAAGCTGACGAAGAGGTGCTGGTTGTAGACGGATCAGGAGTAGGGGGCATGTGGGGAGGCGGAGAAGGGGGATCATCAGGGGGCAGTATTAAATCACCAATATCAACATCATCATCATCAAAAGAAGGCAAGACGGGTGACGAGGGAAGGAATGGCGGATCAGAACTATCCAAAGCATAGAACTTGAAGTTCTCAAAAAATACCACCGTCGCAGCTATCCGGACCCGACGAAGAGTGGGATCATAGCAGATGTATCCCTTATGAACATTGATATACCCAAGGAAAGCACATCGAACGGTCTTGGTGGTAAGTTTAGTACGTTTTTCCGCGACATGAGAACAAAACATACACACCCAAACACCCAGAGTCGAGAATAGTCAGGATGACGCTGATACAAGGCAAAGTACGGGCTAACAAGATTAAGAACATGAGTGAGTTGGTAATTAATGAGGCAGACAACAGTGGAAACAGCTTCGGGCCAAAACCTAGAGGGAACATGTGACTCCAAAAGAAGGGCACGAGTCACATCAAGGACGTGTCGATTTTTTCGTTCCACTAAACCATTCTATTGAGATATACTGGGACACGACTTTTGACAGAGAGTACCTAGAGACCGATACAGGGCTAGCAAAGGACCATAACTGAATTCCCTACCCGAATCGGACCTAATGATTTTAACTGGTCAACTAAATTGGGTATGCACCATTTTCAAAAATTCCTCAGCCATGGCACGGAGGTCGGATTTGAGTCTAAAAAATATACCCATGTGAACCGGGTGGCATGGTTGACGAACAAAGCAAAGTATCAAAAACCATGACGAGATAGAGCAGGAGAAGGACCCCAAAGATCCGTGTGCACAATATGAAAAGGATCAGTAATCACCGTCGTACTAGATGGGAGAGAAATACTAACGGTTTTTGCTTCAATGCAACTAGTGCAATTATGTTTTGACAAATCTCCAAGACTATGTTTTCCCAACAATGATTGACGAAACATTTTCAAAAGATGACCAGAATTAGGATGCCCAAGACGCGAATGCCATAAATCCCATACACTGTTCGACTCACTAGAAGAAGAAGGACACGGAAGAGAGGATAAAACAGACGGACTACTGACGGAGCTACGAGTTACGGAACTGGGTAGGGATGATGATGATGTGCGAGCAAGTTCCTCCAAATGAAACAGCCACCCCTTCTTACTCCCCCCATTCCGATCTGCCTCCCCGTCTTCAGATCCTGCACAACACATCCAGAGGGTTCAAACATAACTGAATAACCATTATCAGTGAGATGGACAACTGAAACCAAGTTAGGAACAAGATGGGGAACATGTAAGGTGTCGGGTAAGTCTAAACAAGTTGTCGAACATGACCCACACCCTTAACCTCGAGCCTATCACCATTAGCCACTCGCAACGCCATATGTCGAACATGTTTAATATTTGCAATACTAGTGGAATCATTAGTCATATGATTGAAACACGCGGAATTCAAGAAGCCAGGGACGCGAACTTTTACCTGTCACCTGAAGAGTAGCAAATGCAGAGCTAATGGCAGTGGGTAGAGACTTTTGCAATGCAGCATTCACAAGCCTCTCAATCTCCTTAGCGGAGACCCCAACGCCTCGTCCTTCGACAACAGGTGTGGCATATACAGCACGGTCAAGAGAAGCACATTCATTGCCGGGAGCTTCAGGTGGCTTACCATGATGTTTCACACAGAGACGAAAATCCAAGATGATATGACATTCTTTCTTACAATAGACGCAGAAATTGTGGGGGCGACAATACTTCTGAAGGTGGCCCTTCTCTCGACAATGATGGCATTGGAGCTCCGAGGTGGGAATATGCCGCTGAAACTGCGGCTTCCCTACCGCATAAGCAGACTCCGCACTCGCAGCAGCAGCAATGGCGTTCTCTCCATCGCCGGGTCGGAGATCAAGTAGGGCCTGAGTGCGTGGTATTGTTTCTTCTCGCCCCAAGTCACCCAGAATGCCGTCCATGGTCAGCGTCCCCTAGTGGATTATACTTGACCGAATAGCCTCGAACTCGGGTCGGAGGTGCATCAAAAACTGAAGCTAGCGCGCATGTTGCCGATCTTCAATGATGACATCCGAAGTTGCAGCGGGGCGGAGATCATGGTGAGCAGGTCTTCCTCAGTACACAACTCCTGAGCTTCGGTCAGGTATGCGGTGACATCCCGATCTCCTTGCTCCAGCTTGTCGAGAGCACACTACAATTCAAATTGCCTTGCGACACTAGTAGTAGAATATGTGGCAGCTAATTTTCTCTATATTGCATTAGCCGTCTGATGCATACGATAGCCCCAAACAAATGGTAGGATCAACATAATTAAGAATCCAATATCTTACCCTTGCATCACTCTGAACCCACTGATTGATCTGCTCATCCGTCGGCGGCGGCTGCGGCTTCGGCACCATACCATCAAGGACCCCGATGAGTCCTTTCCCTTCCACGAAAATTTGAAACTGAAACTCCCATAACATGTAGTTCTTAGGGTTGAGACAAATCGACAATCTCTCTGAATCCATCGCCGAGTGATCTGATACCATGTTAGAAAACTAAACGAAGATTCAAACACGCAGAAAACGACACACAGATTTAACGTGGTATCCGCGGAATGCCAGAACTAATCCACGAGAGAGGCAAGCTCTCCAAGATGAAAATCGTACTAAGTTGCTCAACATTCAGTGGAGTACAAGACGTATATATATCCCCAATGCAAACCCTAGCAGCTACATGACTACTAGTGCATGGGTGCATGGGTGTATGGATTTGGGCCAATCATCATTAAGTAAACTTTGGCCCAATAAACTCCTACCAATCCACTAACAGCAAGGAAA